ATATTTAAAGGAGTACCTCTTCAAGGGACAAACGAATTTAAAATTATTTTTGGTGAGGATGGTATAATGTACAAAACGGCTAACGTGCCATTCCACTTCAATCCACGCTTCCAACCCGGCCTGGTATAATATTTCAACATTTAGTAAATTAACTGTGAAATTAATTTGAGGTCTTTATGCACAGCTGGACGGTAGAAAATGGAATGCGTCGTGAGATTGGTTTTCGTAATCCATTTAGAGCTGGAGAACCATTTATTTTGGAATTTGTTGCGACGCCTAGAGATCCAATAATGGCAATTTTCTACTTGATTTAATCTGGATTTTTAATTGAATTTCTTTTAGATTTATGTCAATAATATATATTCTGCAAGTTTCTATTATTATGATTTGAAGGATGTTAGTCAACTATATTTTGAAGGGTTTCGATTAGACTCTTTGATTATGTGTCCAAATGAATATGGATCAACTACATTAAAACAAACAAGTACATCAACAAAAACAACACAAAACTTGTACCCAGGAGATTAAAGAAATTATTGAAGTTTAATCTGTTACTAAGATATTTTTGATTAAATAATTTGTAGATTGTGAAATATTTTTGAGATTAATAATATTATAAAATATTATCAATATTGTAAAATAAACAAGAATAAAATATGCGTGTTGAAAAATATTTTCTCAGTCCGTTCAATACCTATCTGCATAAATTAGGAAGAATTCCGTTATATCTCCCATGCTTGATTCGGCAAACAATATGTTATTCGAAAGAACTCTGCGAGCTGAGTCGAACAACACCAAAATTAGTTTCCGGACTCACATATGGGCAGAGAAAAAGGTCTCCGAAAATATAAATAAAGGGACATTTGTGCGTGAAAAATTCGAATATGTAAATTATAGCGTATTCGAAAGGGGTTGAATTACACTAAAATCATCGAAATTGAAAAAGATTCGGTTAAATTAAGATAATCAAGAAGTTTTAGTTTTTTTTCTACTTTACAATTTATCCCCCATAACTGATTACTATTGCTAAATAAACAGGTTTAATTATGTATTGAAACTGAAGGTATTATACATATTTAAGTAATTATATATTATTGCTACCTAGGTTAGGCACAGACCTTTTCGTGGGTTTCTCTAGCAACAAAGCTCGATTTTGTCAAACCCAACGAGCTTGAAAAAATTGAACTTTAATACCACAGGATCTAAAATATCAAGGAGTTCGAGCTTATCATTAAAAAACAAACCAGTTAGCCTATCTACTCTAATTCGTTCGTATTAATTCTACTCTAATCCAAATTTTAAAATATAAACAAGGAAGTTTATAAATATCGACAAACAAAATGTATTTACGAAATATTAAAAATTAAAAAAAGTTTCCTTGCCAATATAAAAAAACTTTATCACATACGAGACTAACAAACAATGTAAATTAAAAATACAAAGAATACATTTAACAATTGAATGTGACAAGTTTTGTTTGTTAACGTTAGTTTATTTGTATTGTCAATTAAAATTAGGTGTTGTTTGAAAATTTACGAAAAAAGATTACAAATTTTAATAAAAGCTATGAGTGAACAGCTAAAAATTTAAGCTATTTTAATGATAAAATCAAACATATAAATAATTATTTCAACCAATTATTTTAACAATTAAATAAAATTTAAATAAATTATTCTAACCATATTAATGAAGGTAAACAAGATATTTAATTTAATCAAGAAAAATATTAAATTTTAGTTGATAACACTTTTTTTGTTAATAATATATGAGAGCTTTTTGTTAACTACAATCAAAGCTGCAACATGCAATAATGCAGTTGTTTTTGATAATCCGGTAGGATAAGGATTTTACGGTAAACGCCTCGGTGGCTCACAGGTAGAGCCACTCGAGTGAGCTAAGTCGGAGGATTTTGCTTCTCCTTCGTGATTATTTAAACTATATTTCAAATAGATAATATTTTTATAAATTGATTTGGTAAAAGAGGTTTGAAGATAATTTTAATTTTTTTATTCTATTAATTTTCTGATTTATTAAAGGATATACCAACAATAATCAACTTTACAGCTTGGGGATTTGGAAAAGGCTTTGCACCCCCAAAGCGTATTTATTTTGTTGGGATACCTACTGCACGAACACGCTTTGGTATTAACCTAGTTGAGGATGGGGTGCCAATGAGACCTGCTAACGTTATGCTTCACTTCAATCCACGCTTTGATGAAAACAAAGTAAATTAAGTGTATTTATGTTAAACTTAAAAAGCTTTAGCTCAAGGTTTTCCAAGTCTGTAGATTAAGAAGAAACGAAATAGGTCACTCTAGGCTTCGATGTTTGAGCGATTTACAATCTCCCATCAAAAAGATCTCTTGATCAGGCGTTTTCTCTGACATTTCGCCTATTTTTCGTAAAATTAGGATAAATCAAATTTAACCTTCGCAAACGATTTGAGAAAATTTTTTAGGCAAGCATTAGGAATTATTAATTAAATAGGAAATTATAAAATTATGTTTGAATCTTTCTTATTTAAAGGTTGTTCTTGATACCTGGTTAAGAGACGGAGGATGGATAAAGCAAGAACGTGCAAAAAGTTTTCCATTCTCAGTCGGCAAACCATTCGAATTGAAATTTAGAGCCGCCCCGAAGGATACAATAAATGTAATTAGATTACTATACATAGTAGTTATTTTTATAAACAATTTTTGAAAGAAATTATATTGTCTATCAAGACACCCCTAGATAAATAAAAGACATCCCTAAATAATATATTTTTGCTTCAGATATTTGTCAACTACAAACTATTTGTAAATTTTGCACGATTCGACTTGAGTGAAGTTAGTCAATTGGAGATTACGAAGGGAGTCAAAATAAGTACCGTTATTCTTTGCAAATAAAAAGATTTTTGATTAAATATTGAAGTTGTATATGATATTAAAAATATTTTTAAATTGTATGCTTAATGATATACTTAAATTTTATAAAAGTTTTTTAGAAGTTTGATAACTATTGCGTGTCGTCTATCTGGGAAATCCCTAATGATAAGATTTGGTTCTTTCGGCCCCAAGAGTATATCTAAAATGGAGTTCTGTATCCCTATTTTTTCAGATTTTTTATGCACATAAAGCTCTGGTGGTCCGAAATCCGGGTATTTTGATAAACCCAGATCTTTAAGATCCGGTACATGTCGTGTCAAAAAATCCTGGATACTCTCCTGGTCAGATATAATTAGGGTTTGACCCCGACCCCGACCCCGTACCCCGAACCCCGACCCCGTTCCCGAACGATTTTTTCACGATTCTCCCCGACCCGAACCCCGCCCCGAAAAAAAGTGAAAACCCCGTACCCCGACCCGAAAAGTTTCGGGGTTATCGGGGTTTTATATACCCAAAAAATGCCATTTTTGGGAGAATTTTAAGAGAAAAATTTTAAAAATTTTCTCCAATTTACTTTGCTTTTATTATTTTTAAAAGAAAAATGAAAGAAATATAAAGATTCTTTTTTCTACTCTATTAAGAGACTTGTGGTTAAGTGGATTAGTTGTTGGTTTTAGCCTATATGTCCACTTAATATATGATTGGGTTCGGATCCAGATAGGTAGAAATCGTTTGTTTTAGGATTTTTCTTTACAAAAACAAGAGTTTTTTTAATTTTAAAATGTTAATCTTAGTTTTAAATATTGTCAACCATAAAAAACAATGCAAGATTTTTTATTTAGTGTTAAAATTTCAAAAATTTTCGTTCCTTCTAATAATTAATTAAGGCAGCGCTAACCCGAAGGGGGTTAGCGCTAAAGCAGCGCTAACCCCCTTCGTTCCTTCTAATTATTAATTAAAGCAGCGCTAACCCTAAAAACTTCTATAATTTTCGCCTGCGGCTCTGAAAATGTAAAACTCAGCTATAATGCTATTGAGGGATTAAGAAGGTTATCGGCGGATTTGATATCAGGGGTTAATCCTTTGCCAGATATGTCAGTTAATCTCTTTAAATCTTTCTTAATCCGTCAATATTTATTTACCTCCCCAGATAAACTTTGACCAGAACCTGGTCCAATTTTAGTTCGTATCCCAGAACCGGACCGGAACCAAAAAACGCCGGAACTTTTTCAAACCGGAACCGGAATTTCCGGTGAAACACTACCAGATATACATTTTAAATTAATAAAAATCATTAATCCCACCTTATTCTCATTAATTTCTGAATAAATTGACGAAAATAGACCAAAAATGGCTTATTTTTAGAGCATTTTTCTTTAAAAAATTTTTTCAGTAAACCCCCGTACCCCGACCCGAACCCCGACCATATTTTGCTCCCCCGACCCGAACCCCGCCCCGAAACATTTCGAAAACCCCGTACCCCGACATACCCGCCCCCGAACGTTCGGGGTCAAACCCTAGATATAATAAATTAATTTTTTATTATTTTTAATTTAATTGCCAGATAATTAGGTAAATAAATTTATTTGCACATTATTTTATTATCAAAATATCGAGATATAAAAACAATTAAGTAAAATAATAAAATTTCTATTTAGAAAAAAAATTTAGGTAAATTTAAAAATATTCAATGAAACATTCAGTTGTCTGCCGTTAAATTGGACAGCGTGGCACGACTTTTAAGGAGGTAACTGACAATAAATTATGCATAAACCATTGATCTTTGGGATAAAGGATTTTTTAATTTTATAAAAACTGACTAATAATTATCCATAAAAGCTACAAAATTTGCATGTCAGTAAATTAAAATTGGTCTTAAAAACGAAGAATTTGGCCGTGAACAAATTAACAGCCATAACTTTTTCAAAAACTGACCAAGTTTTGATGTTCTTTACTTTTAAAATGAGACTGTTTGCAAGCTTAATTTTTTGAAAGTTTTTAAAAAAGTTATCCAATTTCTTCAAATGTCTGGGCCTTAAAAGTCGGTTAGTCAATGAATAATACCTAATATTTATTAATTTTTATACATAATACCGGTTTTATAAAAATTTTCAATTAATTAATTATTTAAATTTATTTAATTCTCCTCCTTCCCAATAATTCTGACATTTTCCAAAAAGCCAGCAAAGCCATTAATGAAATCATAATAATTTTATTTGAATTTTGGCATTTTGTGCCGGATGAGCGAATATAAGGACTGGCTTCTGCAGAATCGAGAATTGAAAGTTCATAGTCTGTTGTTGTTAAATTGTCTTGAAAAAAATATTATGATTAATTTAAACATGTATAAGACACATTACTCGATAAACCACAATTTTAGCTACTCAATTTCATTTTATATTTTCCATTGTTTTTAAGGTAGATGGAGGGATACAATTTTTCAACAGCAAAAAGAGTTTCCTACATATAAGGGGTCTTACTCTTTCGAAAATTGACTTAGGTATTTTATAGTTGAATCTCTGTAAACCCTTGGGGTTGAAAAATTATAGTGCGAGTAAACTATAATGTGTTTAATTGTACATTCCCCTATTTATTAATATGAAGCTTAATTATCAAATCTCGTTATAGTTTAATAATTTAAGGTAGGTTTTAATAAATAAAATCGGCCACAAAAGATGTATCCTTTTAATATGTATTTTTATGAGGCATTATATCCATCAAAAATTTATTCACAAAACTCACTAAAATGGCATTTTCTTATATTAACGCCAGATATTTGTCTTCCCAAAGCCGAATATCCTCCAATTAAGGGTTCTTCCAAAATACAAAGCTGCCCATAATCCATTTGTTGTCTCAAAAAAGCAAAAACCAATTCCAAAATCCCTCCACTATTTCCTCCCAAAATAAAAATTTGTGAGGGGGGAATTGGGGCCTTTCCACCTTCAAGACTTGCTGTTAATCTTATAGGGAATTCAGCACCCGCCTTCATTCGAAACTGAAGCATTTGAGAAGAAAAATCTGTCGCTTCAATCTCGCTAACGGTAGAATCTGTTCCTCTTCCAAATCTGTCTAAAGTTTTGAATAAACGACAGTCTGTCCCTGTAGTTTCGTTGTGCCGGTTCATATTTTCCCATTCTACACAAATATAATACCAAGAAGATTCTTGTAAATCGGTTATTGAAACCTTTGAAAATAAATTTTATTAAAAAATATTTTAAAGGCTTCAATTAGGGTTGGACATATCCGGTTATTATTAACTGGTACCCCCGGGTTTTGGATTCGGTTAGTTGGCGGTTTCCGATTCCGGTTCGTCCAACCGTTCGAGATCAATCCTACTTAACTTTTGAATACCTATCAAGTTGATACTGATTAAAGTTTTCCTTAAAGGAGACCGACTTGAGTTTCCTTATAATTCGACTCCTAATAACTGGATTTTTCTCCAAAATTTCGATAAAAATGAGAGACAAGTCGGACTCTAGGTTCCGATATTTTCACTTCCAATTTGGAAAATTTGCCAGAAGAATTCCAATTTCTAACACTTTTGAGCATTTCAAAAGACCCAAACTTGTATTTTTCATTCTTGCTTAATTAACAAAACAATGGGAGCAACATTAACTGATTTAAATCAAAATTTACTTGTTTATCTTCATTAACAGAATCTGGATATAAAACTTTTGTTTGTGAAGTAAACCCATCATTTTGACGTAAAGGAATTGCTGTCAGGTATAATGTAGGTAATAAAGTTGGTGCCATATGATCACGTAGGAAATCATCTCTCAAAATTATGCGAAACCCACTTTTGGTTGGGTCAACATAATTAATGGCTCTTTAAAAAAATTTTTTTGAAATTTTCCAAAATTTCCAAAAAACCCACTTTACTGAAAGAAATATTCTTTGATTAAATTTAACTGGAGCAAAACACCTAATGGGCAAAATTATTAGTAATGGCATTATTTGTTTGAATAAAATTCTTTTTAATATTTTTGTTGTTATGATAATTGGGGAGGAATATTTTTTATTAAATAATTTTTTTGATGAGGGTAATTGTCTCATTTTTAAATATTAAATTTTAAAAATCTGAATTTAATTAAAATTTAATAAAAAATTAGAATTATCGCACCTTATAATAAGCTGTATTCTGTATACAGGGAACCGATTAGGTACCAGGGATATCTCGAGTCGAGAAAATAGTCGGGACGGATTTCGTGTTGGGTTTTAAAAATTTTCCTCGGGTTGGATTTCGGGTCGAAAAAAGATCGGGTCTCGGTTATCGGGTAACCAAAGACATCCCTGTATTTAATTTATTTTTCCTCCCATTAGTTAACCAAATTTTAAGTTATACATATTATCTTAAATAGAAGGTTTGTATAATATATAGAGGGTAACCTATAATGTGGCCTATATTATAATAAATTATGAGAAAGAAAAGGCCAATGTTTTCCCTCAAAAGTCTCTATATATTTTTGACAAGTCCAGCTAGACCCCTCTAGCTGGTCAAATTAGCATAAGTGCCCTTCTAAGAAAAAATACAGAGAAGAAAGATTGCCAATCTTTGAATTAATTTTATGAGTTTTTTAGAAAAAATAAAGATTTTTAATATTTTTTAATATTCTGAGAAACAAAAAATTGAAAGGAGGAATGGTAAAATAATCTAAAAATAGGTATAATTAATAGGATAAAGTTGTTCCACGATTTTACATCAATAACTTTACCTACTAAATTTTTTTTTAATTTTTTGGTTGGAGAACGAGTTAGAGGAGGACCCCTCTAGCTGGTCAAATTATTTTTTGACAAGTCCAGCTAGACCCCTCTAGCTGGGATTTAGGATTTATGGGGTTACTCTGTTAACCGAACCCCTAACTGACAAACCGAAAAGAAAAACTAATCTTCGATTCGGTTTGACCCAACAACCCAACGCTTGAGGTTAGGGTTGTCGGTTCTGGACCGAACCGAAGAACCTTCCGAAAATTTTCCAAGAACCGACAACCCGAAGCTAGAGAGCGTACAATTTTTAAAGTTGATGTTAGGCTCTTTTTTTATTAATTTTTAAAATTATTTTTAAATAACAAAATTTCAAAGCAAAAAAAATTTAATTTTGTTTTAGCGCATAATTTTCACACATTAAAAAACCAAAAATAAAGCTTTAGAGCAGGGTTGCCGCCCGAAACCCGATACCCGAAACCCGAAACCCGGCCTTTTTTTGTACCCGAAACCCGATACCCGAATTGAAAATTTTCCAACCCGAAACCCGAAACCCGTACCCGATTTTTTTTCCAACCCGAAACCCGTGACCCGAAATTGGTTAAAACCCGAAATTTCTACCCGAAAATTTAACCTTACCCGATTTTTTAAAATAAATTTAAAAAATTATAGAAAGGAAAAGGGAAAGATATATTCATAATTTCTTCCATATTCTCATTATGTGGATCGGTGGCTGAATGGGTAAAGCGAGTGTCTCGATATTTTCATGGGTGTGGGTTCGCGTCAAGGGCTGGAAATGTGGCTTAAAAATTTTTCTCTTTTTAAAAATAAATGTTTTAACTTTTGATTTTCATTTAGAACTTTAAATTTATTTTTTTAATATTTTAAGCTTAAAAAAGTATTAAAAATTTTAATTAAGTCATGAATTTTGCAAAATTTTCGCCTGCGGCGCATAAAATGAAGAGTTTTGGCTTCATGACCAATTAAACTTTAATAAAAATTTTTTGCCTGCGGTTCTGCCAATTAAATTTTTTCTCCCAAGACTTTACAAAATTCTCAAAATTTTCGCCTCCGGCGGTGAAAAAGCTATAAATCTGGCTTAAGCATAATCAAAATTCTCAAAATTTTCGCCTGCGGCGCAAAAAATGGAAGAAATTTGGCTTCTTGGTCTTCCAAAATTCTTAAAATTTTCGCCTCCGGCGGTGAAAAAGCTAGAAATCTGGCTTAAGGATCATTAAAAGTCTCAAAATTTTCGCCTGCGGCGCTGAAAACGGGAGAAAGTAGGAGGCTTTAATGGAGATAAAGCGGAGGGATATTAGTATATAGTGGGATTTTATCAAGGTGGGATTTTACCAGGATATCCCTCTTATTCCCCAAATCCCACATGTCTCTTTAATCTTTTCAAATTTGCCTCTCTATATCACCCAAAATCCTATTAAGCAACATAGCTTGTCTTCATACAATTTAGTTCACCAATACACGAACACCCGAAAATAACCCGGATTTTTCGCCAAACCCGAAACCCGTACCCGAAATTTTTGCCAACCCGAAACCCGATACCCGAAATGAAAATTTTATAACCCGAAACCCGAAACCCGTACCCGATATTTTTGCCAACCCGAAACCCGATACCCGAAATGAAAATTTTATAACCCGATACCCGAAACCCGTACCCGAAGATTTTTTGTACCCGCGGCAACCCTGCTTTAGAGTATATTTTTCTAATTTTATTATGTATCTTCTTCTCTCCTTTCTAATTAATTAATGAAAGTGACCATTGGTCAATAGTCTCCTCTTTTGTTTCTTTTTCTGAATTTTTAATTTGGACATTGTTAGAAAATAAGAGAGAGAATAATTTATTTAAGAGCTTATAAAGTGATGGACATTGACACGATAAAATTGACAAGAAAAAAAGGGGGAAAGCTTAAAATATTTTTAAAAGAAATTTTATATTGAAGAAGATTGACATTTTTTAAAAAAAGTATTTAAAAGTTAATAATTAAGAGGAGTTTGAGGTCAAATAAATTTTTAGAAAATGTGAAAGACAAATAGGCAGCATTGCATGGATTTTCCGAGAACCCGAAACGGACCGAGAACCCGAAACGAAGGAAAAATCCTTGCTTCTGTGTACGGACCAGGGATCCTGCCGACTAAAAGAATAAAATTCCCGATTTCGGTCCCTGGTTTTGGTAAAGTGACTAGAAGTGGAAAAAGCAAATGCAAGTTTTGAATATAAGAGGGGAACACAAAAAATGTGGCACTATTGTTCCGGTTACTGGTTCTCCAGCATTTCGACAGTTCACATTTTCCTGGGGTCGGTCTCTCCGGGGCCCAATATCAATGCATAGTTTGGAGCATATTTCCTATACTACATTTTCAATTAGTGTCCTGTTCTATTAGATTTTTTCAACTTTTTTATTATTTTTGCTGTGCAATAGTTAATGAATAAACACCGCAACATTTCCGGCCTTTCTCTAAAATGCAATTAAATATTTAATTTTAAAATTGCAAACTAAAGCTGTTCAATTATTTTAACAGAAAATATATTTACATTTTTAATGAATAATTTAAAATTTCACCTTTTTTCTTTTCTTTGCGGGGAAAAATTTTTCCGTTAAAGAAAAATTAAGCCTTTGATTACACAAAAATTGGACAAGAAAAGTCTTTTTTCGGACCGTTATTTCCCCAAAAATGTCGGCGATCGTTTAGAAGGATAATACCTTTGCGCGAGTCTTTTTTGATGGCAAAGGATTGGCTAAAACAATAAAAAGAGGAAAAAAGATTAAAGAAACGACAGAAGGTGTAAAAATAAATGTTAAAATAAATTTGTGTATTATGTATTTATTTTAAGAAAAATCTGACAGAAAAATGGAAGGAGAGTATACGAAAAAATATGGAAAATAAAAAAGAATATCGTTGAGGAACCATGCAAATTTTATTATTTTTAATTTGAGTGTTCTTATATTATTCCTTAATAATTAGGGTAGCTCACACGAGCCTTCGGGTTCGGGATCGTCGGGGATCGTGGTTTGCCGATGTAGAGCCTTCGGGGTTCGGGGAGGGGTTTTTACCAAAAAAAATCGTAATGGTCGGGATACGGTGGATGGGAAGCTACCCTGTTATCAATCTGAAATAAACTGTTTGGAATGTAGTTTACTCAGCCCTACCCTATCGAAATGTCCAGATTTTAAAAATCGCTAAATTTTTGGTGATATACTAAAAGAGAGTCGACTGTATAGGAAAAGACATAATTTTACTGACAGGGCAAAGACAGAAACTCTTTCAAATTATCTTGGTTATCTTTCCAGAATTAAGTTTAATTTTAAAATAAAAAAGTCTGTTAGATGTCCAGATATAATCTTTCGAAAAAAAATTTATGAAAAGTAAAAGCTTTAAATTTAAATTTAAAATAAATATTTTTAGTCCCATGGGGCACTTTAATAAGAAAATATTAAATAATTTTTATTTTTAATTGAGTATTTTAAATTTATTTTTTAAAAGAAGTAATGTCTAAAAATGCCAGAATAAAAATAAATATTTTCACAAAATTGCTTTAAAAATCTCAGAAAGTTTCTTGTCTAAAAAACAAATTATTGTCCTTTTTTGGTAAAAAAAGTGCCAAATTATTATTTTTATATAATTGGACTTTCTTTTAGCTTTTTTTCGTAAAAAAAATAAAAATGCTGCGACGCATAAAACGTTAAAGAAAAAAGTTTTTGGTAATGGTCAATAAAAGAAAATAATAAAAGAAAGTTTTGCTAAGTTTTTAAGTTTTTTGAGAAAAGTTGAAAAAATATATATTAAGTAAAAGAGAATAATTATTAATAAATATTAATTAATTAATTGTGTCGGGACAAAACACCGTCCACACAATAAACTAAAATATTTTTGGCTAAGAGTCAAAATTAACCAAACGCCAATAACTAAAGGGTCTAAAATAGAGATAGGCATGATACAGGATCCCCTAAGAGATTTTACAGGATCCCGTCTCGATATCCATATTTTAAGCGGCTACCGGCGATTATCGGGATTTAGCTCTAAAATAGAAATCGGCATTGGAAAATAGAGATCGGCCCGCGAAGTCTTGTCACGTACAAAATTTGAAAAAAATCACGTTATGGGATCCCGTGAATGCGCTTTTTTCAATCTCTAGTCTGAAGATATTAAGATAACATAATATCGACATAAATCGAATTTATTACATGTAAAAGTCGACTGTTTTTTACTAAGATGTCCGGACGGTATTTTGGTCGGACGGTGTATTGCCCATCACCCAATTAATTTAAAAGTTTTTAATAAATAAATAAATAACAAATTTTCTTTAAATAACCACTCAAAAAGAATAAAAATAA